ATACCTGATTAAGATTCATTTCTTTCGTCTCCTTTTCCGTTTCTTTGTGTAGCTCCTGAGCTTCCTTCGTTGTCAACTCATTTCGGGCCAACTCAAACTTCAAACGATCCATTTTTTTCTTCAACAACTCTTCAAATATAAATTTCTTTGCAGTGTGTATGATACCCATATTTTGAAACTGCGCCACATAGCCACGCTCAGGTGAAACAATCAAATTATGTGGGTCACAAATGTCCGTATCGTCCTTACGCACTACCAGCTGGTGTGAATGGGGACTCTCAAGGTTAGTTTGAAAAAGACTGCAACGTATCACCGCTTTACCATTAAAATTGCAAAGCTCAACCTCCGGAAATGTTTTAGGAGTGCGTTTTGAATTGGCGCCATTCAGCGAACCATGTGTTCCATGCATTTCAGACTTGTAACGAAAGCGAAATTTTTCGACAGGATGTTCTAGTATTCGCAGCTCCGCAGGATATTTTCCATGTGATAAACCGGTTGGCATCGTGGATGCAGATGGCACAGAAAGGTTTGGCAACATTTGTGAAGATTGTTGATGCAGTCCACCGTATTGATGTTGTGTTAACGAAACCATTGTTGAAGGCATACCTGTGCCAGGAATATTATAGTGAATGTAGTTGTTTGTTGGAGCCGAGGGAAGGACATTTTGGTTGTTGTACACCAGAGTTGCATTTTGTAATGTGGTATAACATGGTTGATTGTGAGGCGACACCGAGGGCAAGTTCAAATTTGAAAATTCAGTCTGCAATAAAGATGCTGGAGATTGCGAGGGCGACGGCGGCGTTGATTGTAAACTAGCATGTCCAGGCGACATAGTTGAATAGCCACTTGTGCTAGCGTTTGACGATTCACTCACATAGCGAATACTTTTCGTATCCATATCGATATAATCGTTAATCATTATGCTGGTTGTTTTACAATTTTTTTATAATTCACTTATATACTTATGTATGTATGTACTGTATGTAATATGTTTGTACGCGTAAGCACCATGCGTTAATCTAACCTTGCTAATGAACGCACTTATTATACAAACATCGTTATTTCTTGATTTCGATAGGAAAAGAATATCGAAATATTAATGAAATATTTAGTTTTTCTACTGTATTTTCTGTATTACACGCAAATTACACTTTTTGCGCAATTTACAACTACTTCGATCAAATGCACTGTGGCGAATACTGCGGCAACACAAAGCGAACAACGAGAAATAGG